AAGGATCGATGAGGAAAACATGTAGAAACATGTGGGTTAAAAAACCAATTGCAAATGATAAATATTACGAATGGTGATAAAACCTACTGCGCATAATATTGATTGACAGGCACGTTGTTAAAACAAAAGGTTTGAGTTTGCGAAAAGGGTGTTACGTTTGATGGGCAGCGTACCCAATTTGGCTGCGTACATGTGAAAAAGTGTGAAAAAGTGGCGGCAACTGCGCTTAAAAACAAGAAGTACGTAAGGTGCGCAGCAAAACAATTATAATGACAAATGCGCTATGAGTAAACATAGGGGTGAAGAGAAGTTTAGCAAGAAATTAAACGTACACTGCATAAAACCGAAAAACGCAATTAAACGCAAGGGGTACCTGACCAATTGGTGCGAGTGCTGGAAGCGTGCAGATAAATAGGAATACCGTCGTCGTAATGTGATGGGCAGCAGCTGTAAAACGTGTTAGAGTGATGATAAAACGTCGTCCAAAGACGAAAATACACCTGTAAGTAGAAATGTTGACTTTGAATTTTGCGATTAGGCGCCGGCGCGCGGTGTTATCAGCGGAGCGCGCTTTTGCTCAATGGAGCGGCTGCGATTAGGAATAATTAGTGCGCTTAGACAATTGCGATGATGCAAAGGATGCTAACGAATGAACTTATGATGAGTTTTAGCAACTCTTGACGGTTGCGTCCTTTGCGGTAGTTCTTTTGCAGCGCTTGCGCGAGATCGCTCCGAATCGCAATTTTGCGTGCTATTCGCTCGGATTTCGAGTGGATAAAGATGTGCCAGCGAGCGAGTTAGAACTCTACCGTTGGTCATGCGCACATCTGCGCTGCGCGGTTTTCGCATCTGCGCTAGAATTGACTTTGATAACGAGGCCCAAAGGCCAATGACTGCGCGGCAAACTGTCATCTGCGATGATGACAACGTCGTCAACCTGAGGAGGCGCCAAAGTGTATTTAGGCTGCTTCATGCGCAACTGGTGGCGTTCCCTCAAGGCTGCAAGATAGTCTGTGTGCCATATATCCCAGAATTTGTCGAGCACTTTGAGCGATTCTTTGTACCAGTCTGATAATTTGTGCGCTGAGCTGGCGATTTCGCTGCCAAGATGGTCTGACTGCGGAATTTGAATGTCGACTTCTGGTGACGTGAAGTCGATAGGTCTTAATGCGCTGACTGAAGTGTCGCCCTCGCGAAAAGGTGTTATTGGGCGAGCATTGATGACTGCTTCGATTTCTGCGACGACCGTTTGCAACTCTTCGAGAGTGAGAACTGCGCGTCCAACGGACTTTTTGAATGCGGATTTGAAGAGTTGGACCATGCGCTCGTAAAATCCTCCTTTCCAGGGGGATAGCGGCGTTATAAACCTCCAAGTGATTTTGTGCTTTGCGCTGTATTCTGCAATAGGTCGCCATTGACCTGGCGCGTAAATGACTTTAGTAAGAGCGTCGTCTGCTGCGCGAAAAGTGCTTGCGTTGTCGCTGTAAATGAGGTCCGGAGTACCTCTGCGTGCGATGAACCTGCGAAAAGCGAACAGAAATTCTTGAACTGTGTTGTTCATGACGAGTTCAAGATGCACCGCTCTAGTGGTCATACATGTGATGAGGCATATCCAGACCTTATTTGACGCGGAATAAACGCTGCGATAGCTTAACGGACCGAGATAGTCGATACCCACATTCTGGAACGGTCTTGATCTTACGTCCGTTCCTTTCGGCAGAGTGGGCATGTCTGGATAACGATATGCGTGCCCGTTAGCTTTTTTGCAGATGACGCATTCGCGGAGCGTTTTGGCGACGATACTGCGGATTGATGGTATGAAATACGTTTTGCGCAAGCTAGAAATGGTGGAGTATACTCCCGAATGGCGCTGTTGCAAATGGTGCTGCCAGATGACGATTTTGGCAAGCTTATGCGATGGTAAAAGGAGTATTGGAGCTGTCGAATATAGTCCTACGCGAACTGGACAACGAATAAGACCGTTATCGTCCTTTTGCGCTTGAAAACGTGATAACGGCAGACGCTGTAGAATGTGCTCATGTTCGCGATAATGAGCAAGAATGAGTACTGACTCTGCGATAGACATATCCGATGCTGAAAATGCTCCGTTTGCGCTGATTTTGGTAACTTGCGGCAGGGATCTTTCCAGGCACTCCTGCATTGCTGCAGAGGTGCGAGCAAAGATCCTAATGCGCAGAAAACGAAGTATATACGCTGTGATGTTGAGCAGCTTGCTGAACTTATTAGTATATGCAAATGGCAATACTGAAACGAAGCTGCGCTTTTGAGCAGTATGAACCGTCTGATACTCAGACTCGCAGTCTTTGTCGCCCTGAGGCGGCAAAGAGAAATCCAGATGCGCGTTTGGCCATAGAGATGGATTTTGAAGTAAAAACGATGGCCCGGTCCACCAGATATGATTTTTTGCGTCCTTTGTGGACAGACCACGAGTAGCGCAATCCGCCGGATTGTCTTTGGATGCGACATAGTAGAACTTGGTGGCGATATTTTGCTGGTGGAACGACGCTAGGATATTTTTGATGGAATTTACCCTATTTTGGACAAAGACTTTGAATTGTCGCGTTGAATGAACCCAATGTAGGGCAATTTGCGAATCCGAGAAGAAGTGAATCGCCGAGATGGTGATGTCCAGTTGCTGGACAATATACTGCGCTAGGCGAACACTGATTAGAACTGCAAGAAGTTCTGAGCGAGGAATCGTTATGGGCTTGAGGTCGTTGAGATGCGATTTTCGCCATAACGAGCCTCGATGTCGTAGAAGATGTCGATCTGCAGAGAAGATATGCGCAACAAGCGTAGACGCGTTTGAGACGCGTCTCCGAAGACACACAACTCTACCGAGCCAGAGGTATACGAATGCGGCAGAACGAGACGAGGTATCGCTGGAAGCGGATACTTGAGGTCTGCGAGAAGATCCGACCAACGCTGACGATCAGACTGATCTAATGGTTCGTCCCAAGCTAACTGCTTGGCCCACAGATCTTGAACGAAGATTTTGATGTTGGAAAAGAACGGTGTAAGTAGGCCAAGAGGATCGTACGTAGACGCTAGAGCACGAAGTGCTGTGCGCTTGGAATGACTGGAACGTCTAACGTTTTGATCGCCATGTTGAGAATATCCCGATGGTAGTTCCATGCGATGCCTAGGAGTGTTGTACACTGCCGATCGGCGACTCGATCCTGCGCTGGTATGAAGTTGTTGACAACGTTCGAATTGCACACGAATTGTCGCAGATTCATGTGCATATCACCAAAGACAGACTTTGCCATCTGATATTTTTGGATGGCTTCTGCGTGAGACGTAGCTCCGAGTGCGACGTTATCAACGTAGGTGTTACGCTCGATTTCCTTGGAGAGCGGACTGCGAAGATGGCGTAAAGTAGAATTGAATGGCGGCAGCTAAGCATAAACGGCGACGCGTTTACCCCAAAGGGTATGCGCGTAAACCGAAAGACTCGTAAATTGCCTGGCGACGGAGGACTAAACGGATCTTTGAGCCAGAGAAAACGAGTAGCGTCTCGTTGCGAGCGTTGAAGGCGAATCTGATGAAACGCCTTTCTCGACATCTGCGATCAAGAGGAAACGATAAAGACGAGTGCGCAAGAGGATACCGGCTAATTCCGGCAACAAGGTAGGTCCTTGATGGAGGCAATCGTTAAGACTGGGTGCACCCCGAGTCTTAGACGATGCATCGAAGACTATGCGTAACTTTGTTGTCGAGGAGGACTCCTTGTAAACTGCCTGATGAGGAATGTAATAGACGCGATGGATTATCAAAGACGTATTCGTCGACTTCCTCAACGAAACCGGCTGCGAGATGATCCTCAATCGCGTTGACGTATTGTTTCCAGGCGGACTTATTTTGGTGGAGACGCTGGTATTGACTAACGAGACGACAATATGCTAGCTGCTTGTTGTCGAGCAGCTTTGGATGCGTTTGTTTCCAAGGAAACTGGACGTAAAGATAACCGTCGATGAATTTTAGAAGAGCTAAAAAACTTATTTAAAATGCGAGCATTGAGCTCATCATCTGCCTTTGGATGATGGCTGTCTGTGATACCTAATGAGTCAAGTGACCAGAGACGTCTTGCCAGCTCATCGTCTGCGTCGGATGTTGCGAGTACTTCGTCGGTCGCTGGGCTCTTCGGAATCCCGAGTGAAAAACCGAATTTCCCGACACGACGGTACCAAACCTTGTATGTGTCAGTACCATACCCGATGGCAGACAGACTGGTGGTTCCTGTAAGAGAACGTCCCAGTAACTGTCAATTCCAACGAGTATGTCTGGCAATACCGAATGCGACGTATGACTAGATGGGACTGGCAAGTGCCGTTTTCTGATGAACTTGACATCTGCGCTTGAAAGTTTTGGCAGAGACTGCGGTAATGTTACGATATTTTTGGTTGTAAGATGGAGCCTGACTACGCTATCATTTATGTCGAGTAGATCGACATCGACTATACCTGTAACTTCGGTGGTCTGGAGACCTCCGAACGTAATGAAAGTGCGCTCTTTTTGATTATAAATTGGCAGTCCTAACCGCTGCGCTGTACTTGTTGTGATGAAACTATTTTGGGCTCCTGAGTCTAGGAGCAGAACAACCTTTTCCAGCTTTGATGCGTCATGATTGTACGCCTTAGCGTTGACTAGCATTAACGTCGCTTTAGCTACTGCGCGTTTGATGTTACGTGACTGATAAGCAATGGTTGAGTTGCTCCAACTCTGCGTCTGAGTCTTGCGCCTGATGTTGAAAGGCGGCTGGATGCGGTGAACCTGAGCGCCAACCCCGTTGGGTGTCCCTTACGGGACTATGATATTGACGATTGCGCGGTGGTGAATTGAAAGTAACACGGTTTGGCGAACACGAGTGCCTCTTTGCTGGAGAGTAAGCCCGTGGACTGTGATTGCGGTGACGATTCTCCCAAGATGGGGATCGTGAGCGATCGCTGTCGGTGTATCTCCTGCGACGATAACTTTCTCTGTGAGGGACTTCTTGATGGATATCTGTCCCTGATGGCGAACGGTATTCTCGCCTGTTGCGCTCGTAGTCGTATCTGCGCGACCTGTGAGTGTCGTGCCGACGAGGACTACGACGCGATCTCTCTTCCCGTGGACGGTATTCGCACAAGAGTTCATGATGACCTCTTGAGCAATACCTACAGCCTGGGTACCGACAGGTGCGCCTTGAATGTCCTTGGCTCAAACATCTCCAACAAAGGTTAAGAACTTTGAGCGATGTTGATGCGTGCGTGGGTTGGAATTTTGACTGAGCAATTGCGCGTTTTATGCGATGATGACCCACAAAAGGCACAACCAGTTACTTCGCTTTCGCGGTGAACTGTGAGCGTGACCTTGCGCGTTTGGTTGCCATAAGTATTGTTGATGGAATAACTGTCTTGGAGTGTTGTTGTATCCTCGTACTTCTCCCTTCGAGCGATGATATGATCTAGGTGGTGCATGATTTGATGTATATCGAAATCTGCGCCTGATTGAAACTCTAGATCGTGGAGCTTCTGCTGGATATCCGACGGGAACTTGCTGCGAACTAAGTCGAGATCGGCAAGACAGTGCGAAAATCTTCAAACTTGCGAAGGCCTCTAAGGATGCCTGAGATGCGGAACCATGTGTTGCGCAAGTCTGAGCCTGAACTGCTAGCCGTAGGAAGTTGTTGAAGTTGCCTGTGCAGTGTTGCACGGGTCTTATGCGGCCGGTCGTATCTCTTCTTGAGTGCGCGTACTAACTCGTAGTAGTTGCACTCGTCGGGGTCCAGATCTTGCAACACAATCTGCGCTTCGCCCTTGAGGAAGGCTTTGCAAGTAGAGGAACTTGTACGTCGTACTTATGGTAACGTCGTCGTGAATCGCTACCTCGAAGGCACGCCAGAATCTTTGGAACTGCGTGATGTCTCCGGAGAAGGGCTCAAGAGTGAGCTTTCCAAGCTGGATTGTCGACTGATGCGGAACTTGCGAATTGACGATGGTGGCGGAATGAGAATCTGCTGTGCCGTAAGGGTGGAGTGTCCCTCGGAGAGATCCGAGGAACTGACGACTGCGCTGGCTGGTTATTAGTAGTGAAGGGGATCGGGTCTGTTGTCGACTCTTCTTCGACCTGGATATTCCCCTGATGTTGACTAACTGCCGTCTTCAAACGTAGGTTTTCGACACGTGCGCTGACTTCTTCCAGGTTCGTATGAAGCACTTGGATGAGGCTTCTCAGCTGCGACTGCTGCGTCTTCAACCCGGGACTCTTGCATATATGCCTGATATGCTTCATTGTCTGCTTCCTGGTCCGCTGAACTGCTTACGTAAGCTAAAAAGGCTTGTTGTCTTTCTCGCAGTACGCGAACGGCTGCGCGCATATTCGACAAATGCGTCCGAAGGGCCTCTTGACGTCTGTCAAGAAGCTGACGCTCGTCGGTAGATGGCGGTATTCTGTTATGAATGCATCGATAAGATCTTGCGGTATCTTACCTTTAGTTATTCGAGTGCGGTGAGCGCTTTCGTTAGCTTGGCTTTGCATGCGCTGATAGTTGACATGATTGATCGCTGTGGCAGGAGGTGGTTACTGCCTAACCCAAATCTAAAATGGGGAAAGTGAGTAGGTGTAATGCCGTGAGAAGGCCCTGGCCACAAGCCTCTCGCGGCGATTGTCAGTTGCGAATAAGCGAAGTTGGCCTACGACAACAATGTGCGATCACAAGAAGGTGAACTTGAGATGAGGATGACAGTTGACATGACTTGCGACAAGTGTGCGACACAATGATGTTACTACCGTACTCCTGGAGGCACAACCGAGACGGTTACCTGGAACTGCGCGGACAGTTCTAATCGAGGTCCTACAGACGCCTACGGACCGAAGATGCGGCCTGAATACAAGTGAAGATCCCGTGCGGACTACCCGGACAGCGTTTCCTACTGCTACGGGCCCCGCTACCAGGTCGCACGAGGCAGGTTTCTCCCATCCGGTCCTTAGGGTCTCCCTCCATGCGATTTTGCCCTGGTGCACCCCCCGGTGCCTCGCACGCATTGCGACTCCCTGTAGACAGAAGGGTAATTCTCCCGCTCCCTAGCTCGCGAGTTAGTACCGATACGTCGTGTGGCTGCGGGTGCCACTCCCGGTCCACAACACCCGTACCGGCCTCTAGGTTGGTAAGATACGCCCCGTCGATGCTTCCTGCGTGGTCGTTCTGTAGGCTGCTCGGATCCATCCGAAGAGTTCCATGGACGCGTTCGACTGATCCTCCATTTTCCGACTTCTGCGCGTGACATGGGCTCGATCACAAAGGCCAGACATGTGTTACCACATGCCCAACCTCAGTCCGATGCACCATGTCGCGACGCCGGTGCGGCAAGCCTGGGGCAAGATGACAAACTACAAGTGGCTTGCAGCCCGGTGCCGTGATTTTGATGATGTACGGAGGGACACGCGCCTAGCTCTGCCTGCCACGGTACCTGCGGTCCTCATCCTCCGTTGCCCCTGATGATGCCTTCCAACCGAAGACCACTGCGCTTACTAGGAGAAGACAACTGCGCTAAAACCTATCACCACTTTCCCAAGGTGTTAACAGACACCTGCGCTCATATTGTTTACATTGCGTTGTTATTGTTAGCAATGACAACTGCGATCAATAAAAGTTAAACCCTATTAAAGAAATGCACATGTAAAGAAAAAGAAAGATATTTGAAAGATGCGCTTACTACTGCGCTCTACTTTTGCTACATAACAGAACACAAATAAAGAAGTGGGCTTTATGCCATAAACACAATCTACGAAACCTAAACTTAAACCTACGGGATTGGTCCTCGCCTCATTAGGGGCCGTCGATACCATGAGCCCCCTCGTCCATGCGCGACTGTGTTAGCCGGGGGGCGTTCGGCACGTCCGGTCACAGTCCGCAGAGGGGCGAGGGTTCCTGCGCTTTTCCATCCTGGCCATCGTTGCCTGGCGTCCTCGTAGTCCGTACCATGCGCGCACCAGGAGTTGTCCGGGGGACGGACAACTGCGCTCTAATACCAGAACAGGAACAGCAGGGAATTCTTAGTCAGCTGCGCGTTATAGACACTGCGCTTGGACATGCGAATATAGAATCGACGGCTAAAGAGACGGCGTCGGCCGTAGAATCGTGACGGAGACGACCGAACGCGGGGAAGGCGGAAGAGACGACTGTCCGCGGGGACGAACGAAGAGACGGCTGTCGAACCATTTTGGGCCCGATGCTAGCGTGGGCCAATCCATTGCTGAGTATTCGACGTATGCGCGATAGGACCCAGTGCGGAGCTCTGACGACCCGACCTTTAACCATCTTCTGACATCTGCGCGTGTAGTTTGATATGTAGACCGTAACGACAGGCACTGCGCACAAAGAGGTCGTACGAGAGTCACGACACTGGGGGCGGCAAAAGACGAAACCGCTCGCGCCACAGGAGCTCGATGGTACCGCTTACCTACACGCAAATACAGACATGTTAATCGAAGCCTACCAGATGGGGCCTACGTCGCCATGTGTTTCCCCCAACTCACATGGGTGCGAGGAACCAAAGGGACCGATTCGACTTGCTGGGCCGTGGATGTTCTCATTACAATAACTGTTAGTAAAACATGAAAATAACACAATACATGAGTCAGTAAAACGGATCACATGGAGACCACACATGTCGGAAGTGAAGACGACCAATAACGGTAAATCCTCGATGACTGCGTTGACTTCGTTGAGTGCGTTGACGTTGATTGATGTTGATGATGAACTTGATGGAGTGAAGTTGCGACGAGTCAGCGAGAAGTTGTGGGCCTACAAGTTTGCAGAGGAGCGAAGTTTCCTGCTCCTAAGGGTCCTTTTTTGGCGTGAGGGGGAGATTTTCCTCACATAAACTGCGAAACATTTCCCCAGGGTCTCTGAACAAAGGCACGTAGCTTAAACCCGGGACAGGCAAAAAATGAAAATGCGGTCTCCCACCGCATGCCCCAAGGGTGCGTCCGAGACGCTTGACATAAAACTTCGACAGAGACTAAGCACTTTTCTGAAAAGTGCGCGACGAAACTGCGCGGTCTGATAAACAGAACCGGAAAAAATGCGTTGACGTAACGTGCGCTCTAAAATCCACACCATGGATTTTGTCCTTAGTGTGAGAGTGCGCTTATCGAAACTGCGCGGGTTAATAACCCGAAATTGACAACTGCGCGTATAGAAATTAGATGATCAAGTGCGCTTACGTATTTTGCGTGAGCATGCTCAAAGCATTCTGCGTCGCTGCCTTACGCTGCGTTCGTATTGCTTAGCATCGTACAGATGCTGCGTCTGCGCTGCAGCGATTCTTCCGTTTCTCCCTGCGACTCGTAATCTTCCTCAAATGAGGGAGCTTCCGAGTGCGCATAGAGATCCGGAGGAGCCTCCGGGCGAGCAGGCTGAATTGGCATACTGCGCGTAATGACCAGAATTATAAATGGCAAGTGTAGAAAATGAAAAGTGCAAGTGCGCGGGTTGGTGAAAAACTACTTTTACGATAAACATATGTGATTATGTTAAAGTTACGACAAACTGCGAGGTGGGGTACGTTTGGTCAGGTGCGC